AATTATCAGATATTACTTAACGTTCATATACTTCATTCACTCTATAACTTATCAGATATTACCTAACATTCATATACTTCATTCACTGTATAACTTATCAGATATTACCTAACATTCATATACTTCATTCACTCTAGAACTTATCAGATATTACCTAACAGAAAAGAGAGTTGATGCTAATGTAACAGTAAAGGGAATACAAAAAAAATGAATAATGTGCTAAGTTGTTAAAGACAGGTTTCCAGGAATGATAAGGAAAACGTATTCCAGTCCCCACCGTGCTCACAAATAGTATGATGAATCATAGAAGACAAGGTAAGAATGAGCTTTCAGAGAAAAAAAAAAAAGAGCTTTTTATAGTCTTTTTTTATTTAATCTAAATTACAATTGCGTCAAAGATATGAAGATGGTTTTGTATAAAGCTTTCATGTCTACAAATGTTTCAGTTAATATGTCAGTTATGACATTTATAAAATATGATAAATTTATCAATCATATATCCATTTGTGAAACCTAATGTATGTGTGTATCATTATTAAAGAGATGTATAATTAATATTGTCGTCACTTGAGCATGCAAAGTGGCAATGAACGAGGCTTAAGGATTTTACACCAGGTGGCGTGTGGTTTGGAGGAGGCACGTAAACAGATATTAAACAGCTATATGAAAGTAGTGCCTATATTTTAACTATACATTTTAAAATGTGCTCCATTTAATTCGAAATGAATAAATTCCTGAAAATAAAATAATATTTTAAGAAATATACTAAAGTCGGAATATTGGATTTAATTGTGATTTACTCGTTCGAACGCCCTACGGTTAATTTCTTATTCAAGTGTATTTCTCTTAAAATATTGAAATTGTGTGTTGCTGCTAACCAGAGTATTGTACTGTACACTTACATGACGTATGAGCTAATTAGATTGTGTGATAGATTAATAAATATGCACAAACAAAGAATGCAGGATCACAAGTTGTTATTTCACAATAAATTGGTTTAAATACCACCATAATAGGCTAGAATTATGAAATATCACACAGCTTGTCTTTCAATTGTTTGAATATTTATTGAAACAAGCCCAAAATATAACTAGCAGTCTTATTTTACGTTTACTCACTGTTAAAATATAGCCTCACACAGGTGGCTAGCAGTTGTTGATAAAGATTAGTGTTCTGAGCTTTCCTATCTAGGCTTAAATTGCCAAAATGACTGCCCCCTCGGTGGGACAGCGGTAGCTTTACGGACTTACAAAGCTAAAATCTGGTGTTCGATTCCCCGCGGTTGACACAACAGATAGCCCAATACTGCTTTGGTCTGAAACAAAAACAAAGTATCAACTAAATTTAGAAATTACATTTTTAAGGATTGTGAAATTCGCTGTTGTTCTAGGTTTTCTGTTATTAGCTTCAGTTTTTCTTAACTTTAACGTTTAAACCTCAGAATGGATCTTAAACCTGAGGGTTGAACCTTTTCGTTCCCGTTACAAGCTGGAAACTGAGTTCTTCAGCTCCAAAACGACTCAATCGATTCTTCAATAGACTGATTAAATCTTCGAAAAATCCTGAAGTACTCAATAAATTTAGAGAATTGTAGGAATTACATGACTTTAAAAGTATCGTAAACACATGAAATCTATTTGAAAATACTCACATATCCCGACGGGTAACAGAAATAGCAAAAAATAAAACTTTTCAGGAAAAAACAACAACAACAGAAGGAAATTATTTGAGGACTCAGCGATGCCACAGTAGAGATTCAGATATGAATTCCTGTAAACGTATATATCATTATTATACATAAATATATATTATAATTACAAATACAGACGTTGTCATAGAATATGTTTTCTATTTTTGTGTATAGTATGTAATTATGTTTGTTTTGGTGGAGTTCCATTGCTTCTATAGACCTTGTAATAACAATAAACATTTAAAGTTAAGAGCATCATTTTCTTATCTTTATCATACATAGAGCATGAGTCTCAGCTGTGATGTTCTATGAGGATAGATGCGATATTGAACTATATTTACGTGCACTAGATGCTTTATTTAGTCTTAACTTATGCTATTTGTAACCCATGTCGAACTTTGTGCAGTTCTTAAAGGTGTTTTACATCTAACTAGCCAAATTATATCTTCACCTATTTTTACACTGATTAGAATTTTGATTAAGATATACCTCATCCGTGAGATGGTAAAGCTACGTATATTTTGAAAAATACGAAATGTCGATCTTACTCAATTTCAAGATTTTGTTTTTTGAATACGGAATAGTACTTTTTTTAAAACTTTTATTCTTGTATATTATGTGTTTATGTTCCTTTCATTTGATAAATTAAGTATTTGAATTCATTCTTTTGTGACAAGTAAAGTGTTTTTAATTCTTTAGTTATATCTTTGTAATATATTATATGTATTGACTAATTATTTAGTTCTTTACAGAGTAGACTTCTTTTTTACGTATCCTAGTTTAAAACATGTTTGAGTTTCGAAGAAGCTGATAGTTTTATTAATCTCTTCTACTTTCTAGTTTTTAAGAATGGAGAGATATTATACAACATATTTTTTCCGCATGACTTCTCAAATTTTTTTCTTCAGCTGTTCCAAAAAACAAGAACCATATATAACCATCCAGCTTGAAAGCTTCATCTTGTTTTCATGACAGGTGGAACATGGTTTTGGGTGGACCGACAGTGGAAGGTTTTCATCTCGTGAACGTGATTCTCCACGGGTTGGTGGTTTGTCTTCTCACCTACACGTGTCGAACCGTCCTCCGATGGAACACCGAGAGCTCAGCAGTTGTGGGGCTTTTGTTTGCTGCCCATCCCGTCCACACTGAGGCGGTAAGATAACCACAACCCCTGGGGTTTAACAGTAGTTGAACATGTAATGTAGTTGAAAAAAAAAACGCTAAGAGTTTTGAACTGTTGTGGTTGTAATTTCAGTGAAAATATTTTACCCCTCTTACTTATCGTACGAATAAACCTAAAAATATCTGTATTTCTATCCAGCTGTATTACATATTGGTAAACTTAGATCACCTAACGAAAATACAGCAGATAATATACGCTGAAACTTCAATGATTTTTATTATTCAAAGAGGTTTCAGAAAGATAAGGATTATTTTTTTCATTCAGGTTAAAAGTAAATTACGGCCGATGAATCGGTCAGTATCCGTCTGCTACTAAGTAGCTATACTGAAGCATGATAATATTAGGTTCCATACTGTCTGATGACACCTGAATATTTATTGAACTTTATGACGAATATCACAGAACGATGGAGGAAATTCGTCCTACTTAATGAAAACTATTCTGCAAAATTTTGTCTGATTTCTCTTATGCTAAACAACATTAATGTACAGTTGTCGACTATAAGATGGTATGGTTGGCTTACATTGACATACATTTGTCGAATGTAAGATGAGTCAATGTAAGCCAACCATACCATCTTACCCATCTTACAGTCGACAAATGTATGTAAGCCAACCATAGGAAATGAAACTCCTTTCTTTCTTTCTTAAAATACCTTAGAAAATAAATGAACAATAAAGTTTGTATTTTTCAAGAACTGATTAAGGAAGAAAGAAATCAGGGCTATAAATTAGACATAAAATTGATATCAGATGTTCCAAAGTCCTGTAGTTCTTTCTATTTCATATATGAGTAAAAGAAAAAGAGGTGCTTAAATTCAAAACGAACAAATAAAATAGACACAAACGCTCAACGCGTGCACAAGATTGTCCTATGCAATATGTAGAACTATGATAATTTGTTATAGTGACGAACAAGGAACAAATATATATTTATAAGTAAGTATATACAGTACTCAATTTTATACAATATACAAAATATTAACTGCTTTATTCTGTAGAATATACAACACAACAACAAATTTGTAGAGGGATAAACAAGAAATATATATATATATGTTCAATATATGTATATTTATACCAGATATTTCTTTTTGTTAGCGGTACCAGAGACAAATCTGTTAAAATATAAAGGCACTAAAAATCAGGTAGCAAATATATATATATCCACAGCTCAAACAGTTAAGGAATAGTTTTAAGTTTTCTATATTCTAGCTGAGATAAAGTACAACCGTTTTTATTAAATTACGTCATTTGTATTCCCGAGTTGATTTTTATGTAAATAAAGTGTTTTATATTTATAGCTTTCAAGTGAAGATATTTAACCATGTTCGGAAGTTCAAGAATGTATTTTATCAGTGCGCTTAAACTTAAGTTAAACTTAAGAAAATGGTTTCTTTTTAATACGACCACTCTTTGTTTTTTCTACGAAAATGCTTTATTAACTGAATATAAATAAGGATAGTGTTGTTAATTTAACTCATAAATTACAAAAAATGGAGTTAAGTAAATTTAAAAACAGATAACTGTTTACGTAGGTACAATGCCTTTATGAAGTTAAACAAAAATCTGCAAAGTTAACATAATGTAAGCTTTTGTTAAGGAACTGAAAAGCAGCAGAAGTTGGATCAACTCCACTCTTCATTACTTCACTCTCCTTTATATCTTTAATTGGTTTATTTCGTGACTCATCATGGAGATGGGTTTAGCTAAAAGAAAAAAAAGTCAATCAATAAAAGGTTGTCAGGCTATACAAAAATCACAGAAGTTCAACTATGTGCAGAGAAAAAAATAAAAAAATTGTAGAGGTTCATGCTTACGTTGCATGTCAGGACGTCCTATTCAAAACTTTCTAGTTACAAAGACTTAAATGTTTAAATACTGTGGTAGATTCTAGTATCCAGATAAATAATTAATGTTTGCTTGCGTGGATTTTGATTAGTAGTTTATGCTTACTTATTTATTGAAGAACTTAATACTTCTTACAATTAGTACAGGTTTTATCTGGTTGAATTTGGAAGCATAGCACAGTAAATCAATATTTTTTAACAAGAAACGGGTACCTCTTGAAAATTCATATAAGATGTATAAGATAAAATGTGCTGAACTATTTCTTTGTGTAACTAGCTCGTGATATTTTAACAGCAAACACATCACAGTATTTATACAGGTGGTTAAGCACATGTTTTATACGCACACTTATTTAAATAAATGAACACGTACAGATTTTGTTCTATTTACTGTTTATATAGTAAACATTTCAATGTAATAGTTGTTATGTATTTCGTTTCTCAAATTTTTTATTATTATATAATTTAGTTTATCAATCATGTAGTTACAGTTTTTTTTAACTAATGTTTTCTTAACTCGGTCTACACACAGGATAACATGCTGATTGCCTTAAATTCACAAAATTGTAAATCATCTTGAAACGTCCTTAGAGCAACGTTACAATATCGAAACCTGTATTACTTTGTAAAATATTAGCTCCTTCTGTATTATAAGGGTGTTAAATTATAAAACATATTTGTGTTTTACAATAAGATTGTTCTAGACACAAAAGAAACAAACATAAGATAATTTTTAAGTTGAAAGCAACAATTAAACATAGTTAGGAAGATATTTTTTATTACTTTATATGGTTTGTGTATTCAACAGGCTCTTCTCAACTTGTTAAAATTATTTTACCTAAACACGCAGTACTAACACAGATAAAAAAAAAACACTATCTGCCTTACAACGCATTTTCACATTCTCTAAAACCAGTAAATATGAATAGTCATCCGACTCTTTTTTTGCTCGTATACATAACATGTGAAAGATACAAATCTCCCTAAGTCTACGAAAAGCTTTACAAATTATACAACATATCTAGTTTCTCTCGTCGAATACCATTTCATGCTTTGCTATCGCTCTGTTTGAGGCTGAGTTTCTCATTGTTATTGAAGATTGATGCTTTTAAAGATCACCTACCTGTCTTTAAAAGAAATTTCAATTTAGTCTGATGGTAGAAATATATTTGGACCCTTCTAAATGAGTTTTTTTTTATTTCTATATTATCTGGTATTATATGTAAAATGCAGCGTGTCTGAATGGATATACAAATGATGGAAAGTATTATTCATGCGCAGTAACGTATAAAAGCACAATAGGTAGTCTTAGTTTAAATTCTTTAAAGAAAGGAATTCCTGGAACCCTTTATATTGGTATTATATACTGTGTTCATTCTTATCTCGTATTTTCTTTATCATCAAACTACTACGCGTTAAGAAGGATGACAGAACACACTAGAAAGTTGTCTAAACTTTATTAATGAATAATCATTTTAAAATATTTCTAAACATACAATCAATGTGTACCAAGTTCATTTCTTATAAAGAAGTTTACATACACATATCGCTAAACAAACTAAACAAACACGAAAAAATGACTAGTGGTAAAAATATTTAATTTTAAATGATATATTCTCATCTGTAGTTCTACAATTAATTCACATTTTAGTTAAAGTGAAACTAATTATATCATATAAAGAATCTTATTAAATATACAAATATAAATTGAAACTAATTATGCCATATAAAATACCTTGTTAAACACAATAATGTATATTTTCATGTAAAATGAAACTAATTATGTCATATAAAAGACTGTTACGCAAAATGATGACATTTTATACAAGGTGAAATTATTTATGTCATATAAAATACTTTGTTAATCACAATAATTCGCATTTTCATATAAAGTGGAATACGTTATGTCATATAAAATGCTTTGATAAACAAAATAATGCATATTTTTAAATAAAATGAAACTAATTATTTCATATGGAATGCTTTGTTAAACACAATAATGAAACTAATTATTACATATGGAATGCTTTGTTAAACACAATAATGAAACTAATTATTTTATATGGAATGCTTTGTTAAACACAATAATGAAACTAATTATTACATATGGAATGCTTTGTTAAACACAATAATGAAACTAATTATTACATATGGAATGCTTTGTTAAACACAATAATGGAACTAATTATTACATAATATATCTTAAGGAGACAAAACGTTTTACAGTAATTTTGTGTATACTTCATCAGGATGATTTAGAATAAAATTCTAAATAATTCATGTAAAACTGTTTCATACAAGAACTTGCTAAAATGCATTACTAAATTTTATTTTGACACATAGCATAAAATCGAAACGTAAAATAAAGATGCTTAAGTATTTTTATGAGCGAAAAATCACTCATCTGTAGCAAAGCAAAATGGTTTCTAACCTCAAGTCTTTTGAGAGCCAACTTAATGTCTGTTGTTAAAAGCGTAATAACACCTATCTAGAGTCCGTGTACTTTGTATAGAACAAGTTGATTGTATATAAACCCCTATATCCTTTGTACACAAGAAATATATTCCAGAAGTTATATAAAATATTCATACCTAATTACACAAACGTATCATTCGACAGCGTCTATGATAATAAAACGAAATACTAATTGTTGTTATTGGACACTTTCAGCATTAATTTTGTTACAGAGTGATTCTTGTTTTATGAAACTTTTCTCTCGCTTGAGATATTATCTACTTATTCGTCGTTCAATTATTTTGTCAAAGATGTCTTAATTTCAGAAGAAAAAAAAGGGTTTTCTCCACGCTCATGAACGAAACATTGGATTTTAAAAACTAATTAAATTTGTACAAGTATCACTAATAAATTCGAAGACATAGAGTCACAAAACACTAACTTATAATACCCATTCCCAGTTTGCCCCTGAATAAGAAAGGTCCATCTTTCGAAAGCGCTCGGGTTATAGGGTTTTTAATCATTTCTATCAAGACTTCTTGAACCTACGTGTTTTTCTAACATCATAACTTATAATACCGATATTCTTTGGGCCGGGCTTAGCCTAGAGGCTAGCGTGCTGGACCGAGGGTTAAAAGTTCGTGTCCCTTTGTTGCTAAAAATAAAA